TACTTGAAGCTGGAAGCCATTAAAGAACTATTATCCAAGGCTTGTGTAATATTTGTAAAACCATGGCATAGTATACTCAAGTTTTCTAACATTGCTCTTATTTGCATTAAAAATAACTCTTTAAAAAAATTAGTACAGGTATAGCAGGGACAAAAATATCAAACACCCTCAATTTGGAGGAGATTGTGAAAGCATTGTTTAAATTTTGAGTTGCTCTTAAACCCCTCTATTTACTCTTTTAAGTAAAAAATAGTGTTTCCAATGAAATATCTGAATCTCAAAAGAATAGAAATTTTAATACAACATACATGTTGAAATTAAATGATTTGTTTAGGAATTTTACCCTACTATTCTATAAAAATTAAGAGGTCAGTCATCTATTTAAAATGCCATCACAACACAACACACATGTATCAATCTTATAATATAAATAACTCTGAACTTGGTGGGGGCTGAAGGATAGAGTGAGTCTTATTTGCATATACCATAGAATGAGCATGAGATGGGAACCATCAATCTGTTCAGTGCTATACACTCAAAAAACTATATGCTCTATTTAATGAATAACGATTTAAGTCAGGGGTTGGCAAACTTTTTCTTAAAGGGCCAGATAGTAAAAATTTTAGGCTTTGCTGGCCATACATTCTTCTGACTACTGATCTTTGCTACTATAGCACAAAAATGGCCAATAGATAATACTTAAAAAGTATGGCTATTACTCAGTAAAACTTTACATATAAAAACTTTATTTACAAACTATAGGCCCGTTGGCTATAGTTTGCTGACCTCTGATTTATGGAATTTTTAAGAATAATTTTGATTTTTGTCATATGTACTGACTTTAGATAGAACAAACTTACTATATAACGTGCTACACTACTCTACTGAATTGGTTACATACTTAATTAGCAGGAATAAAAAAACAATATCAAAGTCATGAGGTGTCTGCTAAAAGCAAAGCGGCATTAAATCAAGTTATACTGGACCCAGAATGTATTTCACCACAGGGGACCCTTGACCAGAGGTGGACACAGCCTAAATGCAAACATATACATAGAGTATAGTAAATGTAGAAAATCACTAAAAATGAAAATTCTGTTAAAATATGCACCTGTGCAAACTTTAATCAAATCCACAATTGAAGGAGGCAAGGCCGTGCAAGTGTCAACCGAAAGTGTACTAGCGTGACCCTGGCTGAGGCTGTTTCCTTGAGAGTGAGTTGCCGGGGTGCAGAGCTTATGGAGGCGCTCTCTGTGAGGGTCAGCTCCTGAGAGTGGCTGCCTCCTTAAAATCTGTACTGTCTGTGCCCTGCCAAGATGGAGAAGGGTCACTGCAGGTTGGGTGGGTGTGGTCTAGCCTGAAGCCCTGAGTAGTTCTCTGCATAGAAAGTGAGTACAAAATTTAAGAAGGTACTTGCTGAGAGTCCTGCAAATGCAAGACTGGCACTTGGCCTTGCCTCCTCCCTTAATTTTGTGTCAATGGCACCTCACTTGCCTCAGTCTAGTTCTGGCCCTGCTCTAAGGTTAACATCAACACAAACTACTTAGTGAACAAAGTCACTAGTCCTAGGTATTCCATATAGAGGTCTAGATATGATCTTAGAGAACCTCTCATACAGTGAGTCACACCATCATAATTACACATCAATCTTGGTGACTAAAAGAGTCAAATTTATATCTTGACAAATAAGAGCCTTATGTAAACTAATGATGGTCAAGATAGAAGAAAATCCCTTAAGGCCAAGAAACTGCAAAGTTTGATTTGCCACATTTTTTTTTTCAAATATTACAAAAATATTTTATTATATATTATACTGTGACTTAAATTAATTTCTTAGGTTATTAAATTTAGGTGATGATAATTTTCTTCTAAAGCATCATTAAAATCATTTGCTAAGTCTTTGGTTTATGCAAGGCACTTACTGAAACTAGGCAAAGTTAGTTAAAATGATAATCCCTGAACAATTAGAAATAATGATTCAACAAAAATTTCCCAGGCTGATACAAATAATCACTAAATGTATTGAACACATACTATGTGTCAGGCACAGTTCTTTGTCTTTAATTATTTATAAGTACACATAGATAGATAGATAGATAGATAGATAGATAGATAATTTTCAGAGGAGAAAAATTGTGCCTTGTCCAAATCTATTGTTTAATGTCATATAGTTAGTAAATGAAACAAGATTGGAACTCAGAGTCTGTGATCTTAATCATTATGGTATACAGCCTTCAAAGAATCAAGTTCATTTGACTGAATACTATTGATATTTTTAAGCATTAGCTTTAAAGAGATCAACCAATATTGGTTTACATGGAAAAATAGACAGAAACTTGATTTGCCACATTTTTAAAAAGGAAATTAATATAAAAATGCTTAGCACAGGTATATAAGAGCTGAGCACTAAAGTTGTTCTTTTTTCCTAATTTCACTCTGGAATGTATGGCTATTTAGACTATCACTATACAGACTAGATCACAGGCTATCTCCCTCTAGGACAACATACCTACCACAGGTACTGCTTAGCTCTTTCAAACATTTTTTCGTCTGTGTTAAATGAATACGGAAGTGTTTCATTTCATTAGCAGAGTTTTGTTCTGACTGCTCCTATTTCATCCCACGCATATCACTTCTGCCGTCTCATGAAGAGAACTTACCTGTGTGACCAGTGGCTGCAGCAGGGCTGCAGAGCCTTTGCCCACACAACGAACGGCGAAGCGGAGGCATCTGCAGCAGCGCTCCACAATCCGGTTATCAGCACGGTGCTTATTTAGCGTCTCGGATAAAACTGGCCATATCTGAATCACAGTGAGAGAGCACAGAAAGAAAATAATGAACAACTAAGAGCTGGAAAAAAATGCTCCCAAGTTGGTAACATTTGATTTG